ATATGTTCCATTTCCCATTTATCTCTCACTCTGTAATATTAAGGAAAAACCCAACCAACAACAACAACAAAAAAAAAGAAGCAGAAAACCCCCCAACTCCTCCCCAAACCCCAATTAGTATGTCTGATGGGAAAGTAACCATGTGTTCCTCTTCCTGAAGAACTAGAAAGCAAAGCAACCCAACTGCAAGGCAATGGAGGCATTCACTTCCAGTTCACAGTATTGCAGTTAGAAGTACAGTGAGGTCTAGGTAAGTGTTGGAGCAGGAGCTGCCCGGAGCAGGGAAGGAGGAGGTGTTCACATGACAATACAGCACTGACAGCGCTTTTTCTTTTGTGTACCTGGGGCAGCTTCCAAGGGCAGGCTCTCTTCCTTTCCCTCAGGAGAGGAGGGCTCTGTTGTGTCTGACAGGGGCCTGCCAGAGACCAGCTCAGCGGCGTTCCCGTCCATGGTGGAAATGTCTGTCACTGTCTTCTCCCGCAATGACTTCTCATCGTCTTCATCGATCAGCACCAACTCTGCTTTGATGGTCTCATCATAGCCCAACACTTTCTTTGTCTCCTCTTCGTCATCAATGTTCTGGTAGCCCATAAATATCATTGTCACCGGCTGATCTGCACTGGCCTCTGAGGTTTTGCCACCACAGGGTTTGTCTTGGGGCTGGGGATTCACAGCATGTCCTTTGCTGGATTTATGTACCATTTCCAGCTTTGCCTCCTTGAAGAGCATTTGCTCCTTCATATGGCTAAGGTTTCCATCGGCTACCACATTTCTGTCTGACACAGTCATTGTTTCATACCCTCCTTTTACACTTGATTGTCCAGCTTTTTGCACAAGTTCATCTACGTCCTTTGAGCTTAATTTATGTACTCCATTTTCTACTACCGTGCCACCAGAGTGGACCTCATAGACTACCTTGGAACCATCATCATAGACTTTGAATCCTCTTTGATGGGCCTCATCTGGGCCAACAGGTGAAGCAGAGACAATCTTGGTCTCTCCTGTCTGTTTGTCTTTCTCCACATTAATTTCCATGGTGCACAAAGCTTGAATGAAAACAAGAGAGGAAGTGCATGTTACAACAAAAAAAGCCAGTGAATGGTTAATTGCCAAACAGACAAAGAAAACTATGATGCCCCTTTTTCCTATTTCCTGTTTCTAAAGGGCTAAGCATTCTACATTAGAGGTGGGATGCAACACTGTGGACAGAGATAGGTATTACACTATGGCTTTTTGTTCAGGTGGAGTCTACACATCCCTGCGGCAAACAGGACCTAGTCTTCCAGCTCTTGCTGTCTCTGATCAATTAGAAACACCAAGTGGTTAGGTGTAATTTAGACACAGGGAGGTGACAGCATGCAGGTTGCCCTCAAACTTTCCATTCTGAACTTGCCTTAAAATTCAGAAAGAACCTCTCTACCCTCTTTCTTCTCTGCCATCAAAGTGTCAGTTAGTTGGTAACAAGTTTTGTTTGCTGTAAGAGACACACAGACCTTTTTATTATCAATGCTTGTCCTTGCTTAACTCTTCCATCCATGGAATTCAAAACATTTTACAGAGGTGAAGAAACATTGTTTATCCCTGTTCTACAGGTGGGAAAACAAAATCATACAGGAATGGGATAATTTCCCTGCAGGTTTGTGGCAGGGCAGCTTTCAGCTTCCTCATCAAGGCATTGACAGTGATCTCTGCTTCCAGGTTAAGAGAATGTGCAAAATGGCCAAGAAGTGTTCCCTTGTGTACGTGAATTAGGCATTAAGCACCACTGCCAAAGCTGAAGAAAAAATAATGAACTGATTTTCAAAAGATCATGAAACAATGAGTAAAAACATGTGTGAGGGATATTGCTTTAGAACAGCACAGGTTTTCTAGCAGTTAAGGATGCAGTAATGAGATGAAAATTGTAGACCACACGGTAAGAATAGACAAGAAGTCTATACTGCTCCAATACCCATTTTGAGATACGATGACATCTCACTAGATAGCTTTTCAAAGAAAAATGTGTAACAGTCTCTTGGATTTTCCAGAGGTGATCATTTGTTTAAGCACTCCTTGTATGCAGGTGACGACATTTTGGCTCCTGGACAGACATCCACAGACAATTGCAAATTACCACAGGCAGAAACTTACAGTGATCATTTCCATCATGATTTGTCTTACCTGGGGACACCACAAACTGAAATGTTTGCTTTTTTCCCCTGATTTATTTTCAAGTGAGTACATAATATCCTTGCCCCAAGAACCAATGTAACTTGGTATATGCTTGTACATGAAATATATTGAATATAAAAATTTACTCATGCTTTTATATATTTCTTCAGTCTTCTTGCTCATACACAGTAGAATTATTTTTCTTGTATCCTTGAAGCAAATTATTTCATCAGCAATAGTAAATTTACCATGATGTGCATCATGACGCAGCCTATACAGAAAAGTCATGTGTTGGTGAGTGGGTGCATTCTGGCCCCTAAGGGATGGTCTCCTCTGGCTCCCAGGAGTGCAGTCTGGTAGGCAGCCCAGCCAAATAGTGGGTGATCTGGCCATTTACAAGCTGTGTGCATATGCTCAGACCTCACCCATCCCTGGAAAGGCTGGTTAGGTCAAATGCAACACCACACAAACATCTGCATGGAAGCCAGAGGACAGAGATGTTGGTGGGTGAAGGAGCATTGCTGCCTCTGAGAGTGAGACATTGCTGAAGGCTGGAGTGGGCTGCAGAAGCAGTGATCTCACCTTGGCCACTGCAGCCTAGAGGATTAACTGCAAGGGCTGTGTTTTACCATTGCTTTGTGGGTTTTATGGACTAGCTGTGTTCATAGCTGTCATGACCCTGAGACATGATGCCCATTTTCACCACGAAGTAGAGCTAACAGTTTTCTGATCTCCCTCCTTTGCTGGAATTTTCATGCCTGGCCACCCCACAGCAGACTGAGCAGCCAGGAGGAGGCTATGAGACTGAGGGCTGAGCTCTGCTCTGAGATGTGTGGCAGGAAACCATGAGGAAGAGGGATCTGGCATGGATGGAAACAAAGGAGATTAAGGCTGTAAATAAGGAGAAAACTGTCACCCCAGGGTCGGTAACAATTAATCCCTGAAGCAGTTGCTCTGAGAAGCTGTGGCAGACTGCACCATGGTGCAGCTCAGAGAGCAGCTGACATGGATCATTTGCTTGGGACCAGCCCAGCCCAGGAAGTGGTGCACAAGTGCCCTTTATGTCTCATCCAAGCACCTCAGGTCTGAAGACTTTAACCCAATTCATAGTTAATGAAATAAAAAATTGCAGTTGCCACCACTAACACCCAAGAAATTTCTCCTTTCTACGTGCAGTTTCCTAGTTGCAGGGGAGGAAGAGGAGGAAATGCTGAAGAAGTGACAAGTGCTGGTCCTGCACTTTGGC